CCATGCTCTTAGTCTATTGTAGCATGATAGATGTGTGGAAATGATGCCTGGATAAAGTGTGTGGCATCAGAAGTGGACTACTTTAAAGGAGATTAAATGCCACATTGATATGTGTTGTAGTTTTCTATTTACCAGTTCAGATACATTTTGATTAGACCTTACAAGCGCACTAAGAAACCTAGAACAAAAAAAACAAAGATATCCACATTACCTCCCTTGAACAAAGGAAGTGGGATTATTATTATTATGAATAAGAACATATACAATGATAAAATTAATTTGCTACTCAACAATAACAACACATGAAAAATAAATGAACGCAAAATAATTACTGAAACACAAAGCTTTAATAGAGCAATTAGAAAAGTAATTAATACTGAAAACAAATCATAGTATAAACAAATAGAAACCCTAGAATAACCAAATATTCTGTCTAAACCCCACAAAGCAGGCATTCTAACGTATCCTATTATTTCAGGTATTGGTAATGCTCCCTACAAACTGGTGAAAGCCATAATGAATATTCTAACCCTTGGAACAATCAGTCCGTCAAATATTAAAAATTCTGGCAACCTAGTTGAAAAACTAAAGGCAATAAATATGATAGCAAAACCCATGTCTAGTTTAGATATTAAGTCCCTTTACACCAAAGTTCCTGCTAACAAATGCTTAAATCTTTTAGAAATGTACGTCTCCTTACCAATAGTTAAAATAATAAAAATCTACTGTCTCATCACCAGTTAATGCTACTTTGCATTTAATAATAATTTTTTATAAACAAAAATTTTAGTTACTAAAGGGGTCACCTCTAAATGGAGTGTTGGCATGCATTTTCTTAGAATTTCTTGACTCTGGTCTTTTCTAAAATATTTTACCTAAACAATTGATATACCATTGATGACACTTTATTAATATATCCCTGGAATACTAGTTTACCTGACCTTGTAGATAAACTAAACAAAAGGTAACATAAGATAAAATTTACTGATGAAATAGAAAAAACAATACTTTACCTTTCCTAGATATCATATTACACTGCAGTAACAGTAGCCTAAAACTAAACATTCATCATCACAAGTCAACTAGTAAAAATGATCTCATTAATTTTTTTTCTGACTATGACAACAAGATAAAAAAATAATCATTAGATCCTATTTAAGATCACTCAGAATTTGTAGCCTTCAGTATTTACAAAAGAGGAGAAACACACTGAAAATACTCATTTCATATTCAACACTAAACAAAAGTCTAAAAAAATATTTAAAAATAGAAAAGTGGACCTTTTTGACAAACTCAATAAATCAAAATATATTATTCTACCAACTCTATCATAACTACAGTTGAAAAAGAATTTATCTAAGGTTAACATAAAATTTATTATAACTACTTCTAAAGACTTAATGAATATTAAACAAAATAGCTAAAATTTGAAGGAGGAATTTACTCTCTGTCACCTGTAATAACTGTCACAAGAAATACATAGGAGAAACATTAAGGCATTTAAATAAAGGAACACAAAAGTGATCTTTTACAAAGCAACACACTAAATTCATTGGTTGCTCACCATAATGAGTTTGACCATAATTTTAATTTAAAAATTCCATAATAAAATAAGAATGCAATTTACTAATCTGAAAACATAAAGGAAGTGGTTTAATTGCTAGATTATCTACAGTAAATTTATGTCCAGGTTCTTACAATATTTCACCTTTCTTGATAGATTTTCTATTATTACAATGTGCAATATTTAATAACAAAAGCAATGGCAACATGAACAAAAAGAAAAAATAAATGAAATCTGCTTGTCAAAACCTATATTTAAAAAAATCAGGACAAACTCATTCCGACATTTATAACAAAAAATTGTTGATAGAATAGCCTGGATTTGTTGTCTCTGGAGTTGGTAGAATAATCTGTATGTACTACCTATGGATTAGTGTGTACTTTCCTTTGAATCTATATAAAGTCACTGGTAGTGAACAAGGACAGCAAGCAAGCTGACTGCTGGGAGACTTGTGATTATTTAGATGTGTGTCCCTGAATTTGTAACATTTTGGATTAGGCTAATCCAGAGTAGGGCTTCTTGTTTATTTTTACATCATGAGCTGGTATAACATATGAAGCATAAAATTGTTTTCAGTGAGAGGGAAGTTTCTTTGGTATATCATTTTTGTGATTTTCTCACAATGTCACCTTTTTACTTCTGACCTGCTTTCCTTAATTTTGTTCTTCATGTGCCTTATATACGTTTTTTTTAATGGGATAGTTAAATTTTTGGAGCAAATTGCTGTCACAGGGCATACAAGGCAACAGTGATTTAAAGCACTCCCTTCAATGCTAGACCATTTATTTCACGATTAAGTTTCAATGCTTTGTTTTCTGTGGCTTCTAATGTAAAAGCAAGTCAAACATTGTTGAACTTTTCATCAGTCAATTAAGCCATAAGCAAGCCTTCATGAAATGCAACTTTTACTTTATTTGATAGTTACTCCATCAATAACATTAGGAGACGTATACCATCTTACTTGTTCATAATAGCAATAGAGTGGGAAAATTGATCTCTGACTTTTTACAGAGATATTGGAACTTACCTGTTTGTTTACAATTATTAAATTTGGAAATGTGGTTACATCATTAATATTTTCACTTTTTTTTTGTTTTATAAAAAGAGTTCTTTTAAATAAAGAACAGACGGATATACTCATTTTTTATGCATTTATATTTTAAGAATATCTCTTAAACAAGCAATTGTTTGGTGAAATAGATTTTTTTAGAAAAAAGAGTTTTGTCATTAAAGAACAAACAGATAAATACATTTTTAAAGTCATGGTCAGTCAGTTATGTGCCATATGTGATATACACTTAGGCGATCATGTATCTTTCAATACATTACTGATGAGGCAGATTTTTTCCCACAGTAGTTTGCCATTTCTTTCTGCAGTAGACCAGTTGCCATCCAAGGCTATAGAATCCAGTCTGTCCTGCTATTTACCCATAGCTGGAGGAGAAGAGGAGGCTACATACCTTTCCCAAGGGTATTAGCATGTAAGTGAATGTCATGGATTTGACTGGAATTTGAACTCGGCTCTCTGATTCCTCAATCCGAGCTGCTATCCATTACTCCACTGTGCTGCCATGTACATAAGTCATGGTACATTTTCAATTAAAGAACTAAATTTACATAAATTAACAAAGGTATAAAAATATGCAGATATCAATGATGTAAGTACATTTTCAAGGTCCAACATTTATAAATAAATAAAAAATAAGTGCAGATAACTCTGTAAAAGTCAGGGAAGGATTTTACACTGTATCAATATTATGAATAGGACATTTCCAACTTCTAAATTGACAAAAAAAAATCAATATTTTTTAATTCTAACAAATGTTGTTGCTTGAGGAAGATGTAAAGAATATTAATCTACAAAAATCATTCCCCCACCCCACCCCAAATTTTTTCCCTAGTTTTTTTAAGAGTGGACTATTCTATTTAATTATGCATTGAGAAATAACATGGTTTTGTACTGAATGGTCATAATGGTTAGAATATGTCAAATAACAAGAAAAACTTCAATAGATGTAAAAATGTTCAGGCATATATTTGGTGAATATCATATGAAATTAAGTACACTAATATTTTTTAATACAAAATTTTTACCATGGGAAATCCCCCTCCCCAAATTACAGTAGAACTATTTTTGATTTTTCTCTTTTAAAAAGAGCAATACTAAACAATTTTGCTTATATTATATACCATATTATATTAAAGCTGAATCTTTCTTCTTTCCAACAGTATTCATATTGTTGAGAATTTGATAGCACATCAGTAAATTATATCTAATATAATTACTATTTTAATGAGCAAAACAATTTTCAAAAGTGTGAGTAGGGTAGATAATTTTGAAGTGCTGTAAAAAATTTTGACAGCAGTTTTCAGGATGGTCTTTGCCAGGTTTTGTCTCCAGAATGACCACTCAAAATATGGGTGATCTTTTGTGTGATTAGGGATGTCATTTACTCAAAATATATGTATTGACCAGTTGTGTTTGTAAAACATTCCAAAGAATGGTAAACCACAGGCTAATATGGTTCCTTGAGACCAATAACTTAATGATGGAATGCCAATTGAACTTAAAAAATAAAAGAACTATTGACTATCTAGTCTGCTTGGAAACTTTCATAAAAAAGAACCACTTAGTCGTAATATTCTTTGACATGAAAAGGAAATATGACCTATTGAAAATTCAGACCAAAAGGCTATTGATATTTTAGCAATAAAAGCAAGAAACTTTGAACACCAGAAAACTGTTAGCATAACTATACATAAAAAAGACTCTATAATGTGTGTGTGTAAAACAAATTAAATTAAACTCACATACACAGAGTTAGGGTTCTTACTCATAGTCTGGTAATTCAAAAAATATTAAAAATTTTTGTTGAGATCCCTAAAAGTACTTTTTAGTAAAGACTTAAAACGTGCATTGTTCTGTCTAAGCTTCACTTTGTCTGGCAAAAGATGAAAATAGGTTGAAAGATTGTTGGGCCAATTTTTGAGTCAGAAGAAAAACAGCACTTGAAGCCAGTTTTTATATTTTTCTTTTTTTATCTGTCTATATTTTTGAGATGAGGTATTATGTACACTATTTACATTATTTGGACTATTGTCCTCATCTTTGTTGCCATATTTTATCATAACATTTTGGCCATTGTACACTCTGGCCTTCTTCAGGTGGTTGGAATGTTGAACTGAACATTTATTTCGCTCGCTGGGGTAGACTGTTCTAGTTCCACATGCCATGTCTAATGGATGTCAGTAATCAGTTATCTCCAGTTAATTCACCTCTCCAAGTTCTCCACTGCCTTAACCAGATATTGAACTCACACTGTCACTGGATCAAACCAACGCTTTCATCCACTGTACCATGTGTCCTTTTTTCTCTTTTTAATTGATATTAAACAAATTCTTTTTACTGATGCTTTTTTCCCCCTCTTACTTGCAGGTTGCACCAATCATCTTTATTATAGTTTTAGTTTTATCATTGAAATTCATGTATTTATCTTACTGGATGCTCACAAAGTGGATTGTATTTCAAAGTGTTCTGATCAGTATTTTTTGGAACTGGTATTTTCTTTACCAGGTAAGTGTTCTTTTATTATTCCAAAAAGATAAACAAATTTTTAAGAGTGATTTAAAAGATTCTTTATCGAATGATTTGGATAAAGAATCTTTTAAATTACAAAGATTTCAAACAAACTTCAAATCCTTCAAAACTGCTGTTATTGCCCAGACAGGTAAGGTAGATGTAAGAAAATGTTTTCTTGTATTATTTACTCATCAATTATGCTTTTCAGCATTGCCTGTTAGTAATGAGATATTTTGTCAAGATACAGTCATGAGACAGTATAGAGAGATGACAATTCCGTACAGTAAAGTAGTCATAAACAACCTTGGTTAAAATTCAACTGCTATTCTCTGGGCTAGTATATCTTCAAACACCTACTCCATGTTTGATCATAATAATCCATAGTTTATATAATAAGGATATTTTTTTTATTATATTCACTAAAAATATACAATGGAATGTAATGTCTGTACATTGATTATGGAAACTGTTATATTAAGTGTTTGGTAGCGAGAGAAAGGAATAACGAGGATTAAATTTTGAATAAACATTTATTGTTGGTAGAGCATTGAAGGATGTGTGACATGTTCATTTCAGTGGCAAGTCATTAGGATGGCAGTCAGGTGCAAGGGAAGTGCTGGGAGTTGACCTAATTCTTGTGTGAGGTTATGAATATGGTCAGTGCCTGTGTTGGTTGATCAAGGTCATGATGGAGGGTAGTATATTGTACGGATATGTTGAAGCTAGATTGAATATCAGTTCCGGTAGGTGATCATCTGGATAGCAACCTGGTATAAATGTGACGCCAGGAGTTGACCTATTTGTTGTGCTGGCCTTGTGAGGTCACAGGATACAGTCAATTCATGTTTGGTTGATCGAGGTCATAGTGGCAAGTCATTTTTGTTGGTTGATAGACTTGTTGTGTTGAACTGGAGTGACGTTGGATTGGCATGATTATGGTAGGTCTGTTCTATGGAATAGAGGTCATGGTGTCGACTGTGAAAGTAATGCCTTGTAAATGAGTCAAGGTAAGCTGAGGTGATAGCGGGAGGGCTGATTGACCTGTTGTAGGGAACAGTGGAATGTCAGTTTCTGTTGGTTGATGTTTGCTGCAGTGACAGCATCGTCAACAATGAAGGCTTGTAGCTTGGTGGTATTGAGGCTGGATAGTTGGCCATGCAGGACTGGTGTTTACTGAGGTGAAAAGGTTGGTGTCGATGAAAGTTTGTAGCTGGGAGGAGTCAAGGTTAAGATGTTTCAAGTCAAAGCTGGATAGCTGAAGTGGTTGGTCAAGCCTGGGAATGGTAACGGTCATAGAGAGGTGCAGTCATGTTGAGTGGTGGCAATGAAGGTGGTGGCAACAGCAGCAGCGCACTTTGTGAAGGCTCACAGACGGCCAGACAACAACTCAACAGTTGTTCTCAGAAACCTGCTTTTAAGTGGGTCTGCTGGTAGTCCCTGAGGGCATCTATTTTTTCAGCAGGAATGTTCACAATTGGCAACTGTCAGAGTTTGCTTCATAGACTAACATGATGTGTGAAGCCTAATGTGCAGAAAACAACTTTTGTTATTTTGTTCTTTGCCTTCGTGGTGTTCACATCCAGCTAGCATGCAGAATGAATCAGAAAGAGATATAATTATGACAAAACCATGACAGTTGAAGTTCTGAAATGGATATTTCTTATGTTTCTTGGTTACATGTACAACTCACCTTCTAGTTTATTTCATGAATTTAGGAAGAAAATATTGTCACTTATAGTATAAATTAAAAAAAAAAAATGATTACTTTTTCCTACCCTCATTTTTCTTTGACTTTGTATCAGACTAAGTGTTGTCTCCCATATTTCACTACAACAGAAGAAATGTTTGTGCATACATGAATTGAGATTATTTTTTTTATCTGTAGAATTTTTCAAAATAAGGTAACAATCTTGGACTCTGTAAATATGTTAACTAACCCATTTTTTTAACCTGCAATCTTACACTTGTCTTAAAAAAGACAAGTGATTTTCAATATTTATGTTGGCTATCTTACATGTTTATTTATATTTATTTAACAAATAAAAATATGATGATCTGTAATAATTATATAGTGTGTTTGGGGACTGTTAAAAAATACAAAATTGCTTAGTTTTCAACACAATTCTATCATAAAATACAATTATTTTTTGATTTTCAAAGTATTTCTATCATAAAATGATATGAAAAACTTTTCTATAATAAAATCAGCAATGCATTTACATAGAATGGACACTGCACTAGTACATTCAAAATAAAAATGTGAAAGTTTTTTTAAGAAATAAAAACTTAATTTGAATGTGAATTTCAAGTGTTTTGGTTTTATAGCAAATTTAACTAATAGTATATAGTTTTTTTTTGTTCTATATAAAAAAATATCTGTTTCTTGATGGAAATATGTGTCAGTGAAAAGAACTATTTTTGATTCGTTGTGAATGTTAAGAATGATGAAATTCTGTTCAAAGCTAAGAAATTGCAGGAATGGTTAGGAAAAGTTGTTTAATATATAACAGACAAGAAACCCGGTTTATGAAGTAAATCTAAAATAGTATTGCTTGATTTGCTGTTTTTAAAGTCATTGTCATAATACAAATACATGAGCAGTAGAGCCTGGCGTTGCCCGGGGATGTAACAGTAAGAGATAGATCAAGTATCGACCATCATAAAGACTGAAAAATAAAATTGACAAAGATTATTTTTTAAGGTTCATGGACACGCATGTCTTAATTAGTTTTTTTTTTTTTTTTTTTACGAATTGGTCAAACCCAAACTCATTGTTTTCAATTGTTATGAGTCTACTGATTGAATAGAATTTTATTATAAACAATTGTCTTGTAAATGGAATTTTTAAAGCATTCTGAATGTAAAAATAAAGAAAAAAGTGTGCAAGACAATAAAAACACTACCTGCCAAAAAAAAAAGTGAAGTTTTGTTGAAATTGGTTGAAAAAATGTAGAAAATCCCATATATAAACGAACAGACACACACAAACGAACACACACACACACACACACACACACAACCTGGGTTTTATAATAAGTATGATTTGTAATAAAATATATTAGGGTATTTAAGTACCATCTTGTAGTTAAACATGTTTTTATTCCTCAGATGTCATTTTTACAATATAAGATGCCGTTTGTTCAATCCGCCATTCTTGCGTTCAGCACACTTCACCAACATAAAACCATTTTTTTTCTCACTGCTTCAGCCCTCTTTTCTCAGGCCAACACCATGGCTGACCAACCAATCAGCGTTTTGTTCTCAGTTACCTGGGCAAATAGCCCTCTCTAGTCTGACTCATCAACACACGACTTGCTATTGACCAAACTATGCCAGGCTGTCCAAAAAAACCCCGTTACAGCACATACCACTGGAATAGTCCAGCTGGAGATTAATGCTGTTTTCAAGGAACAAAATGTTGATGCCATGTGCTGCACATTGTGGTAAAACACTTATTTTCCTTTGCACCAGACGCAAGCCACTCTGGCTTGCTTGCTTCTACATGACTGTTCACCACATATCTGTATATAGATAGGGAATGTATATCCCTGGAAAAATGTTTTAAGTAAAATAAAAAAAAAACATTTAAATTTTTTTAGTAACGAAATAAGTATCTTGTTTTTAATAACTAATATTTTCAATTATTGAATTAATATGAATTATTTTTATAAAATTTGAATGAATGAAAGGTTTTTGTTTTTGTGATATTTTGTTTGTGTCATCAAGCAGGACTAATTACTTTAATTCATTACTTAGTTTTGCTGAAAACATTCCAAGGAAATCCATTTATTAATAAAATATAAGTAATATTTTAATTCATTTAATTTATAGTAAAAATAATTAAGAAATTTAAACTTTGAAGTAGAAATAATATTTTTGGCAAGTAAATGTTATTTAAATCATTTTATTATGTTGTTCCTTGTTATACATGAAATGTATATTTTTTTTTACATTAGCAGGAATAATGCTAAAACTTTTACAAATTTTTTATTCACACAAAAACTGTCACTGATTGACAAAATACAAGAATAAAAATGGGGAAAAAATTGTTTATATTTAGAGTTATTTAGTGGATATTTACTTGACCTTCCACTGAGTCAGGTTGTGACACAAGGTCAGTTTTTAACTTGGAGACCTGAGTGTTTTCACTCGGGCAGCTGGTTCAAGGTGGTTAGAGCTGGTCTAAGCTAGTCATAGCTAGTCTTGGCTTGTCTCCAAGTTGGCCTCTTTAAATTTTGTTCATATTATGAAATCCAAAATTTATTTAGGTCAAGATTTTAAGTTATGAAATTCTAACAAAGCTATATACCTTGAAATATATTGAATTACAACCATTAGATATTTTAAAGATTATTCTTAATAGTCTGGGCAGAAATTTGTTAGCCTGAATCATGTCAATAGAACAATGAACAAAAACTTGTTTTTTAGTTTCATCAGGCTGAATTGAATTTACCCAAAATTAAATTTATTTAAGTCAGCATTTAAAGTTATGAAATTGAATCAAATCTATATTTTTTAACTAGTGAATTCAAACCATTCAAGATATTTTTATTCTTAGTTTGGACTAAAATTTGTCAGTTTGTGTAACAAATTCTTACAAATCAAAAATGAATGAACATTCTGTTCTGCTGAGACATTGCTTGTTGGTTTGCAGTAAACTTGACAATTTAGTTACTTGGGCTGAGCCTTGAATAGCAGAGTCACCACTGAGATATATAATCTCATATTAGGTTACTTGGTCATACATAAATGCATACCTATCTATTGTATCATGGGAAAAAAAAGCTCATTTTAATATCCGTTTCTCCCTTTCTCTCTCTCTCTCTCATATATTCCAATGGCTACGGTATTAAGCTCATACTAATTTCAAAATATCACTGATATTTGGAAAAAAAAATGAATATTAGTAAATATTTTGTTTCCCATCATCATAGCACAGATATATTTAAAAAAATTTCTAAAAATATTTTTTGTTTCAATAATGTCATTGTATTTCATAAACCTATGAAGAAGTCACAATTCAGTTAAAAAAAATGTCATTCAACTACCTTCCCTACCATTACCATACAACCTGATTTTGGGAATGTCTGATCAAAACTTATCTTTTAAAGACATCATAACATTTCAATCTTTTCTTTTTTTTTTTAAATCATTGATGACTTTTTAATTCAATTTTTTGTTTGCAGGAAAATGTTACAAAATATATGACAGCAATTGAAAATGGCCCACCAAAAGAATGCAATAGCTCTCATACATCTGGATTTTTTGAATCACTTAAATCATCTATCACAAATATTTTTCATTTTCCTGAAAATGAGTGTGAACAGTATTATCTGATTACATCAATCTCACCTGCTCTCAGAGTGCCTCCAACAGAGGTAAGTAAAACAACAGGATTTAATGCAGCAAATAAAAAATACATTTTTAAATGTTCTTATGAATCACATGATAGAAAATTATGTACAAATGTATTTCATTCTAAAAAGGAATTTCTTCAGACAAATTATAGTTTTATTGATAAAATCAATCTTATTTATTGAAAAAGGGAAAAAGTTGTGGTCTAGGAGAAATATAACAAATAACAAAACATCAAAGATACATGGACTCTCAACATTCAACTTTAAGCTTCTATTTCTATATCCAATGCCTGTAAATGTTAAATTTAGCCTAATCTCATTCAGTTTATTTCTATTGTTATTGTTTGTAATTAGACAACATTTTATTAGTCATAATTCTGTAAGGAAAGGAGATATGTTGTATAATCCTGGATGTCAATTTACCATAGAAAATTCAGAAATTAGAGCAATTTCAACTCATTTCTACCTTAATAAATTTCTTTTATTGCAACCAATTTTGTATATTCATACTTTAGGTTTCATGTTGTTATTTTGTTTTGTGTCAATATTGTAATTGAACTAAGCAATCAAATATTATGTTCTCTCAAATTTATTGAATTTACTTTCATTTGTAAAATTATTTCTACATAACATTTTTGTTGTGGATATTTTCTCTTCTTTCCAAGTATCAAGTTTTGGTAGATAAAGAAAAAAAAATTAATCAAAATTTTTACTTGAAATTTTATTCTGAAACAAAAAATATAAAAAAAATTATTGTTTTTTGTGCTAAGTCTTTGTAAAGTTTAATTCCTTAAAATATATTTAGATTTATCTGAAATGTTTGAAATTAATGCTGCCATCTTGAAGCTTAAAACACACAAAGGATAAGAGGAAAAAACAACTGAAACATACAAATAGTATTTCTGATCTGTAATGTTTACAGTTATAAAATAACAGTTTGAGTCATTGAGATGGTAAACAAGCGAGATTAAGATGAAATAAATATTAGTAAAAAAATGACTGCTTACTGAAGAGAAACATGTAATAATATGATGAGATTTGATCTGTTACTATTGGTTCAAGTGGCTCAAATGGTAGTGCAGTTGTCATACATAAATAGGCTTCTAAAGTTTGTGAGTTCAAGTTTTGCCTATAACTTGTTCTTTGTCATTTCACAGCACAAATCATAAATAACTTGTATAGAAACTGAAATTAAGATGAAATAAATACAAATAAAAAATTAGTAAACAGGAATATTTATGACCCCAAATGTATCATTTGGACTAATATCTTTATCTTTCTTGCTTCAGACAATATGTTTCTGTTGTAACCTGTCCGTACTTCCTCAATAGAAACAATGCAGTTTATAGACCTTATCAATGTGCTTTGGCCAAGTATCTGTGACCACACCCAGGGACTATCAGCTGCAACAGTTTTTCATTCCCAAATTTAAGCAAGGAAGGGTTGGTCTAAAACTGACCATCTATAAAACAAAAAAAAATGCATGTGTGTGTGTGTTTATATATATATATATATATATATATATAATAAATGCAAATATCTGTATCTCACTTTTTTAATTAACTTTTAAATATCTCATCTTTTTCAAATGAGACTTGCTTATCCAGGATGAAATGAATCCTCAGATTGCACATTTAGCTCTCTGCAAAATTGAAGACAAAGTGATGAACTTGGCTCAAAGAGATCTCAGCGATTTTGGTTTTCCAAATCCAAACAGAGAAACTAGACAAATGAACAGGGAAATTTTGAGCGAAACAGGATACAACATGGAAGAACTGTGGCAATGTGTCCAAAACAATGAACCCCTGTTGATTCAAGACCAACAGCAAATTTATCAGAAGATCCTTGATGACATCAGCAACAACAATGGTGGGATTTTCTTCTTGGGTGCACCTGGAGGTGCTGGTAAAAATTTTGTAACTAACTTTCTTTTATCTGCAGTGAGGCTCCAAAGAAAAGTAGTTCTAGCAGTAGCATCATCTGGAATTGCTGCTACCCTCTTGACTGAAGGGTGTACAACACCTTCGAACTTCCATTGGATTTGAACTACAATGAAACCCCTATTTGCAATATCAAAAGAGGAACCAACTTGGCTAAGCTATTGGAGGAGACAAGCTTCAATGTCTGGGATGAATGTACCATGGCATATAAGTTGAGCATTTGAGGACCTGGACAAAATACTCAAAGACATTAGACAGAATTCACAAATCATGGGAGGTATCACTGTGCTACTCTATGGTAAATTTTAGACAAACATTACCAGTCATTGCAAGAGGAACTCAAGCTGATGAAATCAATACTTGCCTGAAAAATTCTTACATCTGGAGCCATGTTCAAAGACTTGGCCTTAAACCAAACATGAGAGTTAGAAGCACAGGTGACCTTGAAGCAAGAAGATTTGCTGCTTTGCTGTTGCAGCTTGGCAATGGAACCATCAAAATGGATCAAAATGGAGATATTCCACTTCCAAATGGTTGTAGAGTTTCAGTCTCAAGTATCCAAGACTTGATTAACCATGTTTATCCAAACATTAGACACCATTTCATAGATTCAAACTGGCTTTGTGATAGGGTGATATTAGCTGCCAAGAATCAAAATGTGGATAGCATCAACTGGAAACTTCTCTAAGAAATTCCAAAAGAAAGCATGAAGTACTTTTCCATTGACACTGTGGTTGAACAAGCAGTCCGTGAATTACTCAATAAAGTTGCTGAACTCATTGAATCCTCCTGGAATGTCATCACACAATCTGGAACTAAAAGCCATTTATTTATTTATATTTATTGAGAAATCTGGATCCTCCAAAGCTTTGAAAAGGTTAATTGTCAAGAAGATGCTTCCTCTTCTCTTGGAAGCAGAGATCCTTACTGGTCCAGGAAAAGAGGAAAGAGTTTTAATTTCAAGAATCCCCCTTAATTCCTCCAGATCTTCCTTTTGAGTTCAAAAGACTTCCGTTTCCGGTGAGAGTGAGCTGTGCAATGTCAATCAATAAGTCCCAAGGACAATCATTGGACTTCATCTAATGGAAGTCTGCTTTTCTCACGGACAGCTCTATGTTGGTTGTTCATGGGTTGGGAATTGAAACAAACTATTTGTACTGACCCCGAATGGGAAAACCTAAAATGTTGTTTATCATGCAGCTTTAGAATAATTTACAAATTTACAAATTATATAATTGTTTTGATAAAAACTGTAATTGGAAAAATATTGTTCCAGTTTAATAAAATTTAATATGTACTCAATGCATAAAGTGTCATTGTTGGGCTGAAGGCCCACTTAAGAGCCCTCTGCAGGAGCTAGCTTCCATAGGGCAGCTTTTAAGCTAATATATATATATATATATATATATATATATATATATATATATATATATATATATATATATATATTGTTCAAACATATATTGTTAAAGATAAAAGACAATGAATATCTATTATGTTTTATTTTTTTTTTTATCGCTTAGCAAAATTCTACGTAAACAATACAGGATGTCATCTTTAATGACAAACATCCCTATTGTAATGTCCATAAAAAACCACTCTGATGATGGCTCATGTCAGCTGAAAGCTTAGATCGACAACCAATATAATAAAGAAATATCCAAATGTTAGACAATTTTTGTCTTTATTTTCTCTTGAAACTAAAGCCATTATATGACACTTGGAAAGGCTCATGATAAAACATAACAGACATTTGTTGTCTGTTATATTTAACAATATATGTTAGAACAATGATCTGCTGCCCCTATACACTATATATATATATATATATATATATATATATATATATATATATATATAGAATGAGAAAAATAATATATAAATTCTAACATTCACAGCATTAATTCAAAAGAGGGCTCAATACCAACAGTAGACCAATAAGTATTTATTATAATTTTTTCATATAGACAAAAGCAATTTACTTATGACAAAGATGCAACTTTGTTTCGATGCATTTAGTTGACCAGTTGCACCAAAACGAAATGAAAAATATATGAAAAAATTATATGTATATAAAAAGAAGCACTCCATGACTCATCTATACAAAGGTTGAGCGAAGCTGACTTGAACATCAGGATCAACTGCATGCAAATATTAAAGCAAGTTGATAACATGCTGCTCCTCTTAATGATACTCTTACCTGCTACTGTGGCTTTATTGGATGCAGTAAAGCAGGCTTTGCTGTCCACTCACAGAAACATCTGGCAATTGATCCTCAACCACATGTTGCATATGTCTAAAAGTTTGTAAAACACATGCATGTCCATAGAAGTTGAGCACCTCTTTATTTTACTGAATCCTAATTTGTTGTCCATGACAAGAGTCCACCATGTATGTATATTTATATATATATATATATATATATATATATATCGTTCCTAAATATATCAGATTGCATTCAAGTAATCATACTCATGAGACACATTCATTCGATTTAGCAATTGGACAGTACCTATTGGAGAGTGAGATATGCTCCTTCTCTATTTGGTATATAGGCAGGTCCAAGCACCATTTATTAGTTCTGGAGGCCATTTGTCTTAAATTGCAGACAAAAGGATAATTGGTGACTGTCAGTTGTTTTAGCAAGTCCATCAAGGAACTCTGGTCTTTAACTATTACACTTGAATGTCAGTCTGCAAGCAAAAACTTTTAGACTTGGGGAAAATTTCTTCATTAGACCAGATTCTTCTTGTAAGGGGTAGTGGAGTAAGTGACAAAGAGAATCTTTGCTATATCTTGACACTTTCTGGCTGTCTCTAGCTGGATTACAGATGTGTCTCTGTATTTATGGGAACACATTTCTTTCTGGTTTTTAGTTAAAAGTCAATTTGCATATGTACATAGAAACAGGGTCAGGGAAATAGATGCAGTAACTTCATCCTTCAGATCACATAACAAATTGTTTTGACTTCATTGACAATCAAGGCAGAGTTGTGGAGTAATATTAAAAAAAAATATTCCCTAATTAAATTTTAACCAAGATTCTTTGTATATTTGAGATCATCTGACATTTTTTTACCAGTGAGAAGTGGGTGCTTCTTGTTCATCAAATCCTAATAACTTAAACTAATTAAAATCCTGTTAAGTCATCAGGTATAGATTCACATGTAAAATCCATACTAGTAAATTTGTTACCATGCAAATATTTTTTAACTAATATCTTCTTCTTTTGTTGGTTTTTATCACCTTATTTTTCTGGCAATATATTCCTCAGCTTTGAAATTTTGAATGGTACTCAAAAAATGTTGGGGAAAATATTTAATTTTTGAATAACTGAGAAGTATTACTGTTAATACTATAAGTACTTGTTAATAAGTAGTTGTTTAAAAAGTAATCGGCCATCAGTTGGTGTCTAATAGTTTCATTTTAAGTCACTATTATGATCATCCTGGTTGTTGAATTAATTTGCAGATGATCTGTCATTGTTCTTATCAACATTCTCTTCACTTGTGACACTTTCATTTGATGATGATCTTGCTGCATCATTATTTTCATAGGACAAATTTTAATTAATTGCATTCTTCATCATTTTCATCTAACCTTACTTTTTTCAATAAATCCTGCACTTTTTCCAAACAAATTCTCATTTTTGTGCTAATATGGTAATTGTCATTTTATTTCTTGGCAATGGCTTCCTGTTTTTACACCAGTTTTCAAACTGTACAAGTAAAATCATTTACTATTTGATAGTGTATTGATTGAATTTTGAATCTCTCTAACTGTATCTTCATTTTTTATTGTTTCAAGCAGTACCTTTTCAAGACTAACTCTATACCAGAAAAATCTTTTTAATGTGTGTATAGGGGGAGATAGTTATACAAAATGAAGATTACCATCTGCAATATACACCTGGCAATGGTTGGAAAGGCAAATAGCTACAAATCCAAAATAAATTATCAAATATGAACATTATTTCATATCACATCTTCAGATTTTGCTAAATAACGACACACAAGAAAAGAATTTTTATTTTAAACAGGCTTTTTTTGTCTCACAATTAAAATCTGCAATAATTGCATGAGACAAAATTACTTCTGGGCAAGCCACATGTTTTGGGGAATTAAATAATCAAAAGGGGGCGAGTTCTTTTGTCTCTATAACAAGTTTTTACTTACCTGGGCACCAGCCTTTACTTGTCCCACTAAGTAATCCACAATAACATTCTCCAAGATATTTAACAATTTCACACTAGCTTCAGGAAATGTATATAGCCATTTTTTGCTTTTGGATGCTGTATTTGAACCACCACCTTTCACCATATAGAACATTAGAGTCCACTTTAATAGAAAAAAAATACTGTAGAGAAATTAACTTTGAATTACAAGAATAACTGGGCAATAAAAAGTTATAAGACTTAAACTATGACTTGAAATATATTTAATTCTTTTCTTATAAATAAAGCTTACATATGAACAGACAAATTTACTTAAGTTGCTGTAGTTAAATATTCATCATTTTTGTGACTTTAAAACAATTTCTGCATAAAAAAGGAACTAAATTAAACCATGAGATTTTTTTTCAGTTTACCATAAAAAATAATTATATAAATTATGAAAATTGCATCTTCATTCGAAAAGTTTGCTTTTGTTTTCAATAAATTTAAAGTCAATATCAAATAATAAGCAAACATAATTGATATTTTTCTGTAAAAATTCACCCAATAAATATGATATAAATCTTTATAAACATTTCTTTGGATCAAGAAATTTATTTCTGACACTGAAAGGATCAAATAATTTATGAAATTGAAAAATGATTTTTCATTTTCATTCTCTCCTGGCAAATCAATTAACAAACAACTGAAATTTTGAAAAGATTTGAATATTCCACTCAAGAGAAACCTAACTGAAAATAAAAACTGGCTCAAATAAAATGTTCATACTTACAGGAGCTCCTGAAAATCCTATCAGTGGAACCTTGCCCTCTAATTTATGTCTTGTGAGTGTGATAGCATCAAAGACATATCCTAATTCCCTTTCAACATCAACTTTTGAGTTCAGTTTGTCCAAATCTTCAGCTTTTCTTAAAGGTTCATCAAATGTAGGACCCTATAAAAGGAAAACAAAATAGATATTAAAATTTATTTATTTCTATTATGGAAATTTTAACAGTATCAATTCTTTAACAAGTTTTCCAATTAATTCAAAATCTTCTTAAAGCAGAGAATAGAATTTGTGCAAAAATTAGCAGATTTTAAAAGATTTAGTTCTTAGAAAAAAATGATGATATTTTTTATAAAGTTTTTATTTTCTATAATTCCTATAAATTAATGAAAATTATAATTCTTATAAATTTTAAAATGCATTATAAGTTTCAACCAAGCCTAAAATATTTCTGAGATCAGGAGTCATTTAACTTTCATTTTATATATATATATATATATATATATATATATATATATATATATATAAGAATCTATCTTTCACATTCATTAGTCACCCATTTGCACAGCATTGACTACTGCTGTCACATTTGGTCAGGTGCATCTGTTATGTACTCTAGATAAAATAAAAAGAAGAATCTGCAATGTTATTGGTAATGACCTGTCATCTTGGCATCAGTTACTTTCCCAATGGTTATAACATTAAGTATAAATGAAAACGTAGAAATTAAAATCTGCAAGAAAGTGATAAAAACCATTAAGAATAAATAAAAACTAGGAAATGTAACAATGTGAGAAAGTGATAAAAAACCTGACTATAAATGAAAAATGAGAAACGAAAAAGTAAAAGGATGTGAAAAAGAATACAAGTATAAATAAAATCTGAGTAATGAAAAATTGTAATAAAGTGGTAAAATCCATAAGCAGAAATGGATAAGTATAGGCTGGGGGGTGGGGAATTCCATTATCCCTACCCAACATAAACTTTCTTGGTATTTTCTTGTAGCCCAAGGTCCTATGGTATCTGAATCAAATGTTAACTCGTAGTAAACTCATTCTCATTATACTAGAAACACCCGTTTGTAATACCCCATCCACCAAACAAAAAAGAAAGGATATCTGGATGTGGTGGGAGGGGAAACTAAAAGCCAATAACTTTTCTTTGGATAGTCAAATTTCAATAAATTTGATATTGTTGTGTAGGTTTATGATCATTCTATTCCAAAATCCAATGATAATTTTAAAAATTATGTAAATAAGGTGGAAAAAAAATATGTAAATAAGGTGCTAAAGGTGGAAAAATCAAATCAATGCAAAAATATCTTAATTTCAATTGCAACGATCACATAGAAAAGTATGTACGTCACCAAACAACCCCAAACACAACTTGATTGGTATTTTCATGTAGCTTTGAGTTCTCTTAAAAAAAAAAATGATGTTACTAGCAGGTAATTTTATTTGCAATTTACCTAACGCCCCCCCCACACACACACACTCCACCAAAATGAAAAAAGAAATCAGAATTTGGGGAAGGGGAAACCTTGGGCTGATAACATTTCTTTGGTTAGTGCAATTTCAGTAAACTTGGTATCATTTGTTTGAATTATGATCATTCCATTTCAAAATCCCATTATAATTTAAAACATCTTGTAAATAAGGATTTCTCTAAAGGCAGAAAATCAAATCAATGCAAAAATACCTTAATTTCAAGTGTAACAATCACACAGAAAATTATTTACACCCTAAATTAAACTTGATTGTTATTTTCCTGTAGCCTTCTGTCATGTTAAACAAAAAAAAACATGTTACTAGTAAATATTTTTATTTGCACTTCACCAAAAGCATCTTAGTTTAGTTTAGTATCTCCAAAAACTTCTATTTAGTTATGAGGAGTTTACTGAAAAGGTCAGATTGATTTGAAACATGTTGAGTGAAATGATCATATTTGTATAAAATAATTTTTTCTTTCTTTCTTCAGGCCTTTTCTTATTGTATAGTGAACACCATATTGAAACCTATGGCCTCTATTGGAGAACATGTTGGCTTGTTCTTCCAGAAGCTTTCTCACACAATTCCATTTCATTTACAAATAGTAGCTGTCATCAGCCTCTTGGTTATTCTACTTTTTGTCATCCTCATCTGCAATGGTTACAGCATTGGAACTTTATTTTTAACACTGAATCCACCACCACCACCACCAACAACAACAACAACTTCACCTGAATTTACAGATTTAAAGGAAGTACATAAACAACTGAAAAAAATTGTAAGTATCTTTTTTTTTGTTCTTTTTAATTAAACAACAACACGATAAAATCATTTAATCAATATAAAAGTTGTCATCATCATTTCCAACTCTGATTTCTCAACTACTACTGCTGATTTGGTTGTGTCTTCCAGATACAGCATTCACCAGAGGATATGATTGCCAGAAGCATTGCTAAAAGCAACAAAGAGAATGAAGATTCTTGATGTCAACATTCCAGGAAGCTTTCCTTTCAGTTCTCTTGTAAAGAAAAAATTCATATCTGCTCAGTTTGTAAAGACACCAACAGAAATGAAGAAGGCAAAAATAATTCAATTCCATTTTGTGTGTGCTAATTACGTTTATTTTGATACTGAAAACTCCAAGAATATTAAGGAAAATTTAATCATTGAACAAAAGTTTTTCTTAATTGTTGTCTTTTACATATGTACCTGGGTAAAGAGTGATTTCTACCCCTATTTTAAGGTTTTGCTTACAACTGCTTATCAGTGGTAATATTCAAATAGAAATAATATTTGTGATGTTAGCATATTTTTTTTTGATTTTTCATTTGCAAAAGCCTTGAACACTGTGATGAACATGCAGATGCCTGAAAAATAATTATGTTCTGACATCTTGTGATAATTGCTGAACATTGAATGACATCAAGTTTTCTTTCTTCATCTGCACTTTATGACCTCTTTTGTTTACAACTATCAGGTCTAGTCTTCTCATATAACTGAAAAGAACAAGATGCACTTGATACTTACATTTTTGAGGATAGGCTCCAGTTTATGCTGAAACCATTCGTTTACATAGATGTTTTCACCAATATAATTGTTCTTTCTTGTCTCTTGTTTTTGTATCCCTTTTCACTTTTTGTTGTATTCATTTTTTTTTCTTCACAAACAGCATTTGCTGTATTGTCATTTCTCTTCACATGTCCTTTACTTAATTTGGCCTCTCATGATTTCAAACAAAAAGTAAATGCATATAGAACAATAAAATAGAATTTGAGGAACTTGTTTTTTGTTTATATTTTTTCTGCTGTGTTATGTGTAATGAACAAATCTGACTGGAACATATTAATTAGAAAGAGGACTGGCCGTAATTTCTGGGGTGCATAGTCATTATCTTCTTGATTCTTGCCTAACTTAGAAACTAATAGTTGAAATTTAATAACATATGAACATTCCTAATATTTTTCTCATTTTTCTCAGATACTTTCCATCTTATTTTCTATTTTATCGACAAGTAGTTGTGAAGTCAAGGAGTCTCTGAAAGATTCTTTTGCTATTATTTCTGTTGAAGCTTTTTATGATTTTAAAGACATTCAAGAATGACACTGTACATTGATTGGATGATTCTGAAGGAAGTTTTTAAAAATGTTGCAATGGTCAGTATTGATGACTTCAGAAAAGTATACATGATAATCCTCTATACATTTTGATTACTTTTTTACACTCCATTCTGTTCTTTTGATTATATCCCACTGAGAACAGAACCTAGGCAAGCAATTACAGATAAATTCTAGCAGTGCATTTTTGAATGAAGCTTCCATTTATGGTCATCCATTCTGGAATTTTTATCTATAGCTTCTATCTGATGCTTTCTTTTATACCCTGGAGGAGTTTTTCAAATACAAAGACTAGTGGATGAAAATTTTCTGCTTTTATTTTTCTCTGATAACTCTTGTAAAAGTTAACTTTATTTTGAAACATGGGAATTGTACAATCCCATATTTATCAATTTTATTAAGTATTTCTTTATATTTGTCTTCGTAGCAGTTTGATATTGTAGTCTATTCTTGTTTAATTGTTTTTTTTTTTTGTGGATTGGGCTATTTTTCGTAAATTTCTAAATAAGATTTCCAAAGTTGGTTTGTTTATTCCTGTTGTCTTTGTATCAGCATAATTCAACTCTTTTGTTAATTTTTGATTTTTAAGGATGTGTATTTAATCTTTTTCTTCTTTAGGGATGACTGTTTATACATTTATATTGGTCTTGAATTTGACATCACTACAGACTGATATTTTTTCATCCTATTTTGTTTAGATGAAATAGTACATGTTGGCCATCAACAATCCAGTAATCAGTAATCTGATTCTAATTTCCAAGAGCAATTTTAGATTTCCCAGATCACTGTACAGACCTGTCACTACTGTTTGGTGATGCTAACTACTGCACTTTCAAACACTGGTAAGACATTTCTATTTGCCTTTTGTGAATTTTTATTATAACCTACTGGTGTTCTGATGTTTAGTATCAGCCATGTCTCCAATTAATACATCAAGTGCTGCTTATAGTAAGTAGAAACACCATATGTTATCCATAACAGATAAAATAGAACTTCTAAAAAAACTTGACAGCAACCTGTCTGTGTGAAGCTTGTGTGATTTCTACATTGGCTCATTTACAGTTTATGACAAAGAAACAGGGAGAAATTGCTCAAGTTCTTTGCTGACATCAATTCAAAGAAACAAATGTAGATAAGGAAAACAATGAATGAAGAGACTAGATAAAATTTTGATGATTTGGTTTAATCTATAAAGTGAAAGCTGTCTACAGATTTGGCGAAGGAATAAGCTAAAATTTCTGTTGTAACTTAGAAAAGTAAAAAGAAAGACCAAACAAATAAGTTATTTTATAGAAGTTAAAGGGGAGTTAGAGAAAGAACAAGTTGCAAGATGAGCCAATATAATAAATCGTTTGTTTTTTTTTTTTTGTATATATATGTATATATGTGTGTGTGTGTGTTATATATATATGTGTGTGTGTGTATATTTATTGGTTTGTTTTCTTTATTCTTCCCGAAAAAAAACATCCTATCTTAGCCGCATGTAGGAAGATCAATACAACCATGCATACCTAATCTATAACTTCGAATAGCCCAAGTGAAGTCTTGATTGGTTGTTGTCTACTGGGGCAACTTATATGATTCATGTCCTAAAGCTAGTGGCAAATTTTGTTCTAGGCGACCTGACCGAATACTGATCATATTCGGTCGGGTCGCCTATTGAAGAAGTCTGTTGTTTATTTAGACCCAAAACTTCTAGTGACATGGGAGCAACAACACTGGCGACGCATCTAGATTCGGCATTTAAAGGTGTATTTTAATAATAATTTACTAAATAAGAATAACCAAAACAGAAGTTGGAAATGAAAAGATAATCTTTATAACATACAAGATTTGTCAGCAGCGTGTAGTAAGTAATCCATTGCTAGTGGTGAATATTTTTATTTGGCACGCGTAGAGGCACTTCAGAGCAATATGACATTCACAGTAAAAGGAGCACTCGCATTGGGGTAAACAGCAGGCCTCCTCTTTGCATGAGTGCACACTTCTCAGGTCTTCCTTCCACTTGGACTGATCTAAATTGATCAGCGTGGCTTCACTGTCAACTTGCTCAATGATCAAGCATACCATATGAATGTTGTCCTGAATAGTTCGGCCCTTCACAGCACAAGTCTGTTCAGAGCCAATCAGACTAGAGAGGACAACCTGCAAATGGTTGGCTAAGATCTTGGCCAAAATCTTTAACTCTGTATATAACATAGTTAAAGGGCGAAAGTTACTTAACCCATCCCCACCATTTTTGTCCTTGTGTAGCAACTTGATTACACCCCTGGTGAAGTGTTGAGGTATAGACCCTTGCTTTGTCCAATTGGTAAAAATCAGTGCCAGCAAAGGAACAAAAATGGGCAACTGCCTCAAGTACATTTCGTAGGGAAGACGTCTAATCCCAGAGATTTGTCAAGATCAACTTGCCTCAATGCTTCCCAGATTTCTGACTGTGATGGGATCTTTGCACTAAGCTGCTTCAGCTACCTCAAGGCAGGGAAAGTCAGCTAAATAGGCGGCAAACTGAGCAGGGCTCAGACCAGGCTCCCTGGTAAAAAGTTCCTGAAAGTAATCACAAAAAGCCTCACCTATGCCCACATTTGTAGTCCAATTATCCAGCAATTTGATGTACACGATATGTTGCCGAGATACATTCCAAGCTTACTCTACATGCAATTCAGTGGCCATATTCGTCACTTCAGACGACATTCTTTTTAACCTAGCCCTAACTACCAGAGCTTGATCCTTCTTGATAAGGAAGGAGGCCAACTCTGCCCTAGCTAAAGCTATGTCCCCACTATCACAGGATTTGATTGCTTGATCTACTTGCAAAATCCAATCTACAATCAAATCTACAATCCAAAAACATCATTTGTTTCTGTGACCATGACCCAAATTTGTTGACCAGCCTCACCAGATTGGATTATGGTCAAAACCTTTCTAGCATTTGGGAAATTTCTTGGATCTTCCACAGTTTATTTAATTTCCTGAAATTTAAAAGAGTTTTGATATTTTTTATTTTCCTCAAGTGTTGGAGTGCCTTTTTGTCTATTTCTTTAGAAACCCGGTACATGTCTTCTATGTTGTAAACGCGTTTAGGCATTTTTTTGTGTTGCTCCAGTTAATTCAGATGACAGACTTCTTTGCCTTTTAGAATTTTCAGAAATGACTGGAGCTTTGACAGGGGATGACCTAGGGTGTGCTGGAAAAAGTGGTATGGTCCTGAGATGATGAACTTTTATTGGGGGAATTTTCTAAGATTGTCATTTTAGAAGGAGTGCAAGATGGGGATCTCAGGACTGGAGGAAGAGTCATGAGGCATTGTTTTGTGGAAGGGGAAGTGGTGCTGAGGAGGAAGTGCCAGATTTTCTTTGAAGATTCTTTTCTCTAAGTTTTTTTTTTTTTAATTGGTGATATTTTTCAGCCTTTTCAAAAGATGGCTCATACTTCAATCGTTTTTTTTTGTAGTTCTTTTTAGTTGGAATAAAATCCCATGTTGTTCTGAATGTTGAATTTTAAACAACTTGTTAAAAATCCATGTAATTCTTAGGAAATCCTTGTAGCCAAAAATGCTTTGTAGTTTTGGTAATTATTACGTGAGTTTTGCTGATATCTTTGTTCGTAGAATATCAAATTCGTGAACATTTACATGAGTTCTGTTCAGCAGAAATCTTTGTTCATCAAATGTTGTACTAGTGAACGTTTACTTGAGTTCGGCCAAATCCTTGTCACCAAAATGTTATAACCTAGAAAAGGTTACTGAATAAAAATAACCAAAATGAAGGTTGGAAATGGAACGGTAATCTTTATAACATTAACAATATACAAGATTCACCATCGGCGTGTAGTAAGGAATTCACTGCTAGTGGTGAATCCCTCCCTGGCCAGTATATTCCACTGTATTTATGATGATTGGGACATACCCATTATAGTCCATAGGTACAGTACAACAATTTCTCATGAGGAACAAGGACCAAATTACTAGTATGATACCTTCATTGATATGACTTAAAGATCACTTATCTGTCACGCTAAAAATCTCAGTGATGCTGGATCAACCTGTATATAGCTTTATCTATATATTCTTTTTCATGTAAGCTTTACTTAAGCAATTTGGATAAGATTGAGTTTGAAGAACATTCATTAATTAGCTTTCAGGCTTTTATAGATAAGGAAGTTAATTCTTTATTTGTGTTATAGACAAGCGTATGGTTGCAAGAAAGAAATACGACAACAGTAGAAATAGATTTACGTGGTTTATTTCAACAGGAACGTGAGGGTTTGGGACAGCTACCTTGGTGTGGTAAAGTTCATAAGCCGGCTTTCGGATCTGGTCGATCTCTCATAGTAGTTCACAGATGTTGATGGTGGTTGACGCTCCCCTGCTTCTGATCGCTCGCCTGACCGTCAGGTCTGTTCGCTGGCCACCTGTTGACTGCCTGTTGAACTTCCGTGTGACCCCTTTTATAGCGTTTTTTTATGGCTTAACAGGCTCGAGAAACGAAGCGAGTATAATTAGGAGGGAAGCATTTTTATTGGATGAAAAATAGAGCACTTTAAATATTATTTTATTTTTCGACCGGAACACATGTGTTGGAAACATTTGTAAAGAAAGATAATGGTCATTTTGTGACGGGGCTTTGTCCTGTTCACATCCGGTTCTCGCTCTTGAGTATTTGCCTGTAAATCGGCCGAGATATGTCTTATTTTATTTTATAACATTTGTATTCCATGGTGATTTCTTGCCATAAATAAAACATTATCATTATTTTTTTTATTAGTTTTTATTTCACAATATTCAATTCATTTGGATAATTTAAGAGTCAGGAAAAGTTGTTTGAAAGAGAATAAAAAGGAAGTTTGACAGTGATTTAAACATCTCATCTTGACTGAATTCATCTTCAGATTGTATTGACAACCTTCATGCTATAATCAGCATCATTACTAGGAATTTGATTACCAGACTCTGCTAAGCATAGTAATAACAAATAGTTTTTACTTACAGATAATATTCAAATTGTTAACCCATAACATAATAGAATCACAAATCTTATTTATTTGGATTAAGGAAATAGCAACTTCTTAAAATAAATTTTAATTTTATTTAATTTAATGTTAATCATTTTTGTTGTAAATATTAGTTTTATTTCTTGAAAAGTAGAAGTATATCTTTTATTTAACATATATTCACTGATATTAAAAATATTCTACATTACATTTTTTAAATTGGATTAATTGTTTTAGATTAATGAAAAGTTTCACTCAGTATTCACAATAAGTGATATGATAAACTAAGTCCTTTTGCAGTTTTTAAAGCTTGATATTATCTGAACACATCAAAGTAGGGTGACTTCTAAAGACCACCAAATGCAATGTACAACCGTGACAGGCTGAACAATAAAAAAAAAAAACAAAGATGAAAATATCAAACAAATTAACAAAATACACTCAATATTTCTGAAGAAATTTCTCTAGAAATACCTTTAAAAATGGAAAGTGTATACTCAAAGAACTTAGACTGAAAGATGAATTAATATTGAACTAAAACTTTTAAGAGTCAAAATATTCAAACAGGCATACTTAAATCACTCACGCTCTTGATTTACACAAGGGAGATAAAGTAAATAAGAACCATATTGTTTTAAATTATCTCCCTTGATTTCACTCGTCAGAAAGAAAAACCAATCTGGAATAAGGTGGATCCTCTCAATCTTAAAGAGATGAGCATACAACTGGATTTAGAATTTATATGCAGTACCCTACCACTATTTTATGCAGTGAGCAACTTTAATAGATTAAGTAGAAGGAGAATTATTTTGAAATAATCTTATATTTTGTTATAAAATGGAAGAAATAATAGTTGTATAATGACAGCTATAGTAACAAGTTTGTCTGGTTTGTTTAACCGCATATCAACTCCCTATGGGTTATTTAATGTTGAAATTTTATTTTTTTGTAAGCTTTGGTAATTTTTTTCTTTTCAAAAATGTATTGCTGGGTATTATTGTTTGTTTTACTATGAAAATATATTGCTGGTAATTTTTAAAAATATTTTTTTATGTTCTCATGTTTTGACTCCAGTTTTGGGGCTCACTATTTGCCCATAGCTGGAACCCTAACATATGCTACCACCTTTGAAACTTTAGCCCACATTCATACGAAGCATACACTACAGCCATTATTAATCAAGTTCATTTGCAACAATTGACAGCTTTATCTTCTACAAGTGGTCTCTCTGATGTAATTTAAAAGTCTTCAGCAAAGTTTAGTAAATATTACATCTGGTACATTTTTTTGACAAAACCCAGGAAAATTTAGTATTTTTTTTTTTCAAATACTAAGAAATGGGAAATTTAATCAAATTTAAATCACTATAGCGCTCAAAACCCAAATAAAAATTCAAAAAACTAGCTTTTTGTGTTTGTTTTTTTTTTTTTTTTAATTTTCCATTAGTTTTTGGCTGTGTATGTGAAATTCGTTTTTGGAGCAAATCATCTTATCTAATTTCTTAGGAAACTGTTACAATCAATAAAAAATGTTTTTAAATTGGAAAATAATTTTTTTTAAATCACAGTTCTGTAAAGTTTCTGAAGGCTAAAAAAAATGAAAAATTAAAAAACAATTTATTTTTATTTATTTGGTGTTGGGTATAATGAAAAACTAAAATAGCAAATATTTCTAAGGATGGAATGAATTCTTATTTGTATTTCATATCTTATGAGGATGGAATTCTGATTAGAATTGGAAATAAGTTTTCAGAGTTTATCTTGAGTAATTATCATTAAATCTTGTCCTTAAATAGAAAGCCTAAAATAATATTTTGCAATCTCATCTTTGGATATGTTCTTAGGTGGATATGTTTTTAGACTTTGATGATTAAATATTTGATGGAGAAGAGCTTAAAAAAATCTTTTGTAATTTCTTGATTTCACTAATTTTGTGTGAGATTGCCAAATATTTTAGTAGTTTTTTTTTTGATTTCAGATAATCAAATCAAGTCAAAAACAAAACTTAGATTAAAGTTTTCTATTTGGAAATGATGCATTCTCTTTATCTAGATTATCTTTGGGCCGTGCTAAATGTCATTCAAAATGTTTAAGATTAATTTTGTTTTTAATTATACTTCATTAATTGTTTACCAAATTCACTCAGAACTTTTGCTGCTTCCTTAATAAGAATTCTTAAGTCTGACTTAAAGGACTGAAGAATATTTTATTTTAAAACTTTTAATGACTTATGTAGATTTTGTTATTCGCATTCAAATTATTTTGTGAATCAAATTTCTTTTTCAGATGGAGCATTTGGAAAAGACTCCAAGTGTTGATGATTTAAAAGACATACATGAACTCTCGTTGAAAAGTATTAAGAATCATATTGATAATAGGAAAGTGTTATATAGCATAGCAAATACTGATGGTTCTGGAGACCAGGCTAAAAATTAACTGTGAGGAACTCTTTGATGTTTCTTTTTTAAAAACCCTTAGCCAAATTAAAGCAGAATCACTAGTTAAAGCAATTCATTAACATTAGTTGATTAGCTGTTACTCTAATTCATATTGGTGAATCAGAATTAAACAAAGAAGTAAGTTTGTCTTAGTGGCATTAATATACTTTTTATACTAATATACTTTTGTGTTGAAATGTAATCAAAATAGTATGACTAATATTACCAATCATCATTTCTATTACTTTCAGGTAAGTAAATTTTATTGTTACCTAATATCACATGTTTTTAATTTTTTTATGCGTTTTTGAAAGATGTGGAAATTATGTGTGAATTATATTTCACATATCTGTGAAAACGTTCATCTAAAAACACTCTTAGTAGTTTTTAGCTTTTAAAATATCAATTAACATCTGATTCTATCTTAAAGATTTTATCAGTCCCCCAACACTGACTCTGATCATGAAAATTAATAGAATAATTACCTGACTCTTTGTAAAGTTGGAAGTGTTATATTATTGTGCTAATTACAAGTGAGGCGCTGATAACTTAATGAACCTTTATTAACAATAAAGTATGTGCAATAACAAGTTTATATGTTAGGCCCAATGCTTAAAAAAATTCAATATAAATTCATTATAAATAATCTTATATTTTGTTATAAAATGGAAGAAATAATAGTTGTATAATGACAGCTATAGTAACAAGTTTGTGTGGTTTGTTTAACCGCATATCAACTCCCTATGGGTTATTTAATGTTGAAATATTATTTTTTGTGAGCTTTGGTAATTTTTTTTCTTTTCAAAAATGTATTGCTGGGTATTATTGTTTGTTTTACTATGAAAATATATTGCTGGTAATTTTTTAAAATATTTTTTTTATGTTCTCATTTTTTGACCCCAGTTTTGGGGCTCACTATTTGCCCATAGCTGGAACCCTAACAGATGCTACCACCCTTGAAACTTTAGCCCACATTCATATGAAGCATACACTACAGCCATTATTAATCAAGTTCATTTGCAACAATTGACAACTTTATCTTCTACAAGTGGTCTCTCTGATGTAATTTAAAAGTCTTCAGCAAAGTTTAGTAAATATTACATCTGGTACATTTTTTTGACAAAACTCAGGAAAATTTAGTATTTTTTTTCAAATTCTAAAAAATGGGAAATTTAATCAAATTTAAATCACTATAGCACTCAAAACCCAAATAAAAATACAAAAAACTAGCTTTTTTGTATTTGTTTTTTCTTTTTAATGCAGAGTTTAACTACTTTCCATTAGTTTTTGGATGTGTATGTGAAATTCGTTTTTGGAGCAAATCATCTTATCTAATTTCTTAGGAAAATGTTACAATTACTAAGAAATGTTATTAAATTGGAAAATAATTTTATTTTAAATCACCGTTTTGTAAAGTTTCTGAAGGCTAGAAAAAATTAAAAATTAAAAAAAAATTTATTTTTATTTATTTGGTGATCATGTAAGTCTGATGGTTTTTAAAGTATCCCTACGCCATGGTGTTACACTGGTTTTGCGTAGGGAAATAGTTCTGTGATACTGCTACACTGTTTTTTATTCTTTACAAA